CTGCAAAGTGGTCTTTCTCTTTTTTTCATTCATTCACAGGATGAGGGTACGTTGGCATTTATTGCTTATCCCTAATTGCTCAGATGGCAGTTAAGTGTCAACCACATTATGGCAGTTTCCCTCCCTAAAGGGCATTAGTGAAACAGATTGGTTTTCCCAACAATCCTTATTAGACTTTTAATCCCAGATTTATATTGAGTTCAAACTCCACCATCTGTCACGGTGGGATTAGAACCGGGTTCACAGAACATTACCTGGAGTCTCTGTATTAATAGCCCTGTGATGATACTACAAGGCTGTCGTATCTCCTCTGCATTTAGTCTTCCACTGTAAAGGAGTATGCAGCCCAGATTGAAAGAACTACAAGTCAAAGACTATGTCATCCACAAGGTGTGGCTGGAGCCTTGGGCAGTGAGGAGGATGGAGGTGAAAGGGTAAGCTTTACACCTTTTGCAATTGCATGGGGGTACAGTGGATGAGGAAGTGTTAGGACTGAGGGAGGAATGTTTGAATGCTGACACTGGACAGGAGGAAAGATGTACAGGACATAGGCCACTTTTGAAATACTGTGTTCAATTCTGTTCTTCCTGCTATCAGAAAGAAATAGTTAAACTTGAAAGGGTTCAGAAAAGATTTACAAGGATGTTGCCGAGGTTGGAGGGTTTGAGCTATAGGGAGAAGTTGAACAGGTTGGGGTTATCTTCCCTGGAGCATCGCAGGTCGATAGGTGTCCTTTTAGAGATTTATAAAATCACGAGGAGCATGGATACGGTAAATAACCAAAGTTTTTTGCCCCAGGATAGGGGTGTCCAAAACTAGAAGGCATAGGTTTAAGGTGAGAGGGGGAAAATTTAAAAGGTACCTAAGGGGTAACTTCTTCACACAGAGTGGCACATGTTTGGAATAAGCTGCCAGAGGTGGTGGTGGAGGCTGGTATAATTATAATATTTAAAAGGCATCTGGATGGGCACCATAAATAGATAGGGTAGGGGCCAAGTGCTCACAAGTGGAACTAGATTAATTTACGATATCTGGTTGGCATGGACGAGTTGGACCAAAGGGTCTTTTGTGCTGTACAACTCTATGAGCCTGTGTTTGGTGATGGTGTCCTGCTGGAGGTGGAATAAACTCTAAAAAATTTATGCTGACAACTTTGAAATTGAACTTCTCCAACAGGGCTCGGAGAAACACCACTTTTTTTTTTTAACCTTTAAAGACAAATAAACACAACTACAACTGACAGCCTCGCCTCTCTAACCAGTTGGAAGTTGTAGCTGAGAGAATACAGATAATAATGCAAAGTGGGGCTAAAAGACTCGAGATGCTCCAAATGTCTTATTTCTGGAATGGGTAAGAGAATGAAAACCTAAAATGGATCATGGTGCTCTGCCCAGAATAATAACTCTGGCTGTGGAAGGGACTGAAGACAGTTTCAGCAAAGAGAAAGGGTTTCAAGAAAAGCAGTGAGGTTCTAGAGATGAAATTAGAAGCTTAAGAAAAAGAGAAGGAAGTATAAATACTGACAGAAATGGCTGGATTTCATTTATTGTTGTCACATCTACCTAGGTACAGTGAAAAGTTTCGTTTTCCAAGCAGTACAGGCAGATCATAGCAAACAAGGTCAAACATATCATAGGATGCTTAGGCAGGGCAAGGCATACAAAAAAAAAAATTGCTTGATAGGGTTCCAGGCAGTGTGCCCTAAAAACCCAGAACAGTGCAAGACTGTAAAGTCAGAGCTTAACCAGAAATATTCCATTCAGTTTACCCATAGCTGAGGAGGCCTTAACCCTCCTAAAAGAATTGCTAGAATCAAAAAGGGTCAGAATGGACACTGGGAGACAGTTCAAAGCTGGAGGAACTAAACCAGTTCAGCCAGATTTTATTGTGTGGCAGATTCTGGAGTATGTTCAGAGGCCCTGCAGGAGCAAAAGAATCCTTCAAGAATACGCTGGCTCAATAATTGTCATGCAGGTTTACAAAAACTGAGATTAGGCCAGTAAAGAGATCAGGAAGGCAAAGAAAGGGAAGAAGAAATGTTAACAAAATTGAAAAGGTGACTGATAGTAGTGGAGCTGCCTCACGCAAAGAGTTACATGACAAGTCGGTGGCAACTAGTTAGCCCATGTACACCAGGGTGTCCCAGTGGCGATCAGGCAGAACAGGAAACAGCGCGTCTCTCAATAGCAAAATTATGGAAATTGTTGCCGTAGAGAGAAAAAGTATTTACAAACACCCAAAAAGCAGTTCAGGTGCTACAGTTAACTTGCAGGCAGCCAAAACTAGTGTGCAGTGCTTAGTTGAGGAACCAAAGTGAATAAAGGCAGCTGGTCTTCAAGTAGACTGGTTGAATCCCATTCAACCTCAAGTGTAGCAAGTAGAATCCTGATCCCCAGGATTATATAGAGGCACAATGTTTCCAGGCTTCGCTGGCAAATATGAAAAGACAGCCTATACCTCAGTCAGACAAGCAAGAGGCTTGACTACCTTAAACCTTTCCATAGTGATGGTGTGACTCATACATATAATTTTTAGTGTTATTTGTTGCGTTTGGGTTTTCTGATTGAAGAATTAGTAATCAATGTTTTCTACGTGTCAGAAACTAATTATTAACTTTTATTTCTGTAGGCCTGGGGGAATTCTTTTGAAAATTAGCATTCAAAGCCTGGCTTTAGAGTGAGTGGGATTTATAGCATAATTGTGCACTTTTTTAAAAAAAATGTTGTGCAACCTAGCAATGTCAAATAATGGAGATTCACGGTTTGTCAAATGTGTTCTGGAACTTTATTTTCAAAAAAAAAAAACTGAAGAAAATACCTTTTAGTTTGATTTTGAGTGGGGTAGTCCTGTGAATTTTTTGGAATGGGACGGCTTTGAAAAGAAAAAGCTCCGAAGGGAAACTAAATTACAGAGTGAAGAGTTAGTGTTGGTCCCAGACTGGAAGTATTGGAAATTTTTTTTAAAATCAACCCATTCAGGTATGTTATGATACAATCCCTTTGGTGCTTGTGGGACCTTAACCCAGCTGTTCTGATCCAGAGGTACGGAATGTACTACTGTACAAGAGCCCTTAGAAATGCTAACATAAATCTCTAAAGAGATTACATAAAACTGTATAAAGCACACGTTAGCTTCTCCCTGTGTATATCTGCAATTGTAACCTATTAGTTGAAGTCACAATAAGCTTAAACACTAGTGACCATGTAGCCAATACCCCAGTAGGTTTGAGTATTAACCAAGCTATATAATACGTAAGTATTTTATTTCAATTTATAAATGAGTGCTTTTGGAATTAATGAAATTATAATTTTACTACGTTCAAAAATCTTCAATCCTGTAGTATAAGTAGTTGGATTTAAAGTAATGGCAAAGATCTGTACTTATAAGTTTGTTTTATTTTCAAATCATAACCTGCAGCATTGTCTGCTTATGTTTCAGTGAGAGATCACTTTAAAATTGAAACAAATCAAAAATAGCATCTATCAAGCCAAGTTTCTGCAATAGGATTTGACTTGTCGGGTCGTAATATTTAGAAACCTCTAATGGCCTCCTACTAAATAGTCCTACAGTGAGTGAGAAAGCCACCACACTCAGATTTAAAAGAATGAAAGCCTGTACCTCCCTATTGTATGAACAGGCAGTGTGACTAAACAAAACCTTTTTTTTTAAATATATAAGAAAGGTAGAGCAAAATCCCTGAATATAGTTGGTAGGAAAGCTAATATAGCCAGATCTAAAAGGAAGCTTGCACTCTTGCCAAACCAGCCTTTCCAAATTTGGAATAAGAGCTGCAAGGGCAAGAAGCTGCTTCACCCAATTGAGGAACCACAAAAAAAAAGCAGCAAAAACTAGCCTAGCATCTGTCTCCAGAGATAAAGGACAGAACAGGGTCACATAATAGTTCCAAACTAGGTAGAAAACTTAATCAAAGGCTGCACTCCTGGATTAACAGGGGGCCTGGCTGACCAACACTCTCTCCAACTGAGGAAGTAGTAGTGATGATTCCCCCATTTCCCACCCCCCCCAAAAACAAAAATGTAGACGATGAGGTAAATGCCTCAATTAATTTATGACAGTGCAGGAACTGTGCAGCTAACTTAGTGCACTAGAGACCAAAATGAAATGGGACAGGTGTGAACCAAGCCCGCCTCCAAAGTTAATAAGTCAGGAAAAGTCAGTAACCTTGAAGCTCCAGTGCACTTGCAACCACCACAAGGAGTTCCAGAGACAGCTAAAGCCAAGTTAAACCCAGAGTCTAGTAAACCAGTGGGAATCTACCAGAGATAGTAGGAACTACAGATGCTGGAGAATCTGAGATAACAAGGTGCAGAGCTGGGTGAACACAGAAGGCCAAGCAACATCAGAGGAGCAAGAAAGCTGACATTTCGGGCCTAGACCCTTCTTCAGAAACCCTGAAGGGTCTCGGCCCAAAACGTCAGCTTTCCTGCTCCTCTGATGCTTCTTGGCCTGCTGTGTTCATCCAGCTCTACATCTTGTTATCTCGGAATCTACCAGAGGGTAGACACGTCAGAGAGTTCCCAGAGAGGGAGTTGAGGTGAGGTCAGACAAACATTCTCCCCAGTAGAAACCCTGACTGCTACACCAGGCACTTGTACTTATAGTAGAATGTGGCCATCCTGCTCAGGAAACTTAAAATAAATGCAAAAAAAAAAAAGGCATCCACTGGAGTATAAGCCAATAGCAGTCCACAACATGGACAAGGGAGATTCCCTACAATTATATCAACCAACAGGTTAGTTCGGAGGAAGAGTCACTGGACTCAAAACTGTTTCCTCTCCACAGATGCTGCCAGACTTACTCAGTTTTGCCAGTAATTTCTGTTTTGATGCTCAGCACTGAAGAACCCGATACCATGTTACTGTGTTCAAGATGATGTTGTAGTTGTGTACACTGTTGAAGTTTAACAAACTACTTTAGATTTTAAAAAGGTAAAATCTCAGATACTTTTACTATTTCAGGTATTCACACACACACAAGAATAAAGTCATAATGGTCTTTAATATCTAATAATTTATAGCTTAATGCTGCATCAAGAGAAGAATACAAGACATATCTCACCAAAACATCCCAAAGCCGCTGAGAGTCCCCATTGAAAATAATGGGAAGTCCCTAACATTCTTATGTGGGGCAGTGAGTGAGGATTATATTCCCCCAATTTTACAAATCAAAAGATGATCTTATGTCTTTCTCACTTGGAGCCAACATTCTAATCCATATTCGAGTCTCAAGCACTTGCTGGTCAGCATAGATGCTTATTCTTTTCCTTCTTACAAGGATAAATCATTTCATAAAGTATTACAATATAATCAAAAACAGCAGGGATAAATACCACATAATATTTCAGTTAAGAAAAATGGAAAAAGAACATGTTCATGTTTTTCTTTGCTATTCTGTGATTTTTTGTTGCTGCAAACTCAGTTAGATTTTAATTCTACCACTAAATGTGGACATTTGGACATCAGTGCAACAATCAGCCACTTGCTGATGAAACAACTTCACACCTTGTCCTGGCTGTCATACGTCTGTATTATATGGAGCATGTGCATCATTGGTCAGCTACATACTGAGGAATGGCTGCCCTGTTTAAAATCAAAGCTTTAGACAGCTTAATTACCAGAGGGCAAAGAAACATCCAAAATAAAACTTTTTGGAAAAATCAAAGCACAAAAATGTAAAAAATACAATTTTATTTGTTTAAAGTTACCTCTAACTATAATCTTCATCTTTATATGATCAACAGTGTCTAAACTAAGAACAATACAGTTCAGCCTGCCTGGTTGGTCATCGTTCAGAACAGTGGCTTGTTCTGGGGATTTTCTCCAGTGATTTGGTTTTTGTTTTTCTGACTTTCATTTGGTCTTCATTTATAATGGGATCTCCAGTAGTCTTACGTTACTTAAGAGTACTTAAAATGCCCACTCTTGAATGCTTGCACTATGTAAGAACGTAACATTGAACCTAGGCAGGTGTCAACATAGTGTGCACTCTGGCAATTCATGAAAGCAAAGGGAGCTGTAAGCCATTATTGTAGGTGCAGGGTCCTAAGCGTTAGTGCCTTTATTAGCCGATATACTATGTACAGAGCAGTCCTGTGCTTTTTACGGTGGGATTGGAATGTTTCCACACTGTCCAAATTGTAGATTAGTGAAAATTTTCATCAGCAGTTTGTGATTAGGTTGTGTGCACACACTTACTGAACTGTATTTCTAAACAGAGGGATCACAGACCCAATTAATAAAGCTAATTGGATTGCTGCTGAAATCAGCAGAATTAATATTTTCCAAAGGAATGAGAGGGAGATGTCTCCTAGAGCTGTGCTAAATATAAAGTTGGAAGCTCCTCCACAATGGTCTTGTGGATAAGGGCACCATTAGGTACATAACTTAAACTATACACACAAGGTTGGAGATCTGATTCCTGAGCTGTATTTTATTAGCTAATACCCTGGGTAATAGCAGAATCTGTAATTACTTCCAGTGCGTTTAACGTGATCAGGGGTTAGGGGGGAGGAAACAAATCAGCAAATGTTCTTGATTAACATCCAGTGATACTGCTTGAAAAAAAAAAACAACCACACCGATGGAAGTTCAACTTGGATTCAAATGTCATTCCCTTCAGTTAGAAGCTGTCAACATTCACTTGTTAGCTTCACAAACCAAGAACTGATGAGACACTAAAGGGCTACTGCCAAACAAAGTGGTACACTCCAGAGTATATCTACAGGTCACCAGGAGAGAATCTTGAAACGGGAACTAACACTATTTCCAGCTAGATGGCATCAAATCGATGTATAAAACTACTAAAAGGAATAGAGAGAAATTATTTTGGATACACTGACTGTTTCCTTGTGCATTTTCCATAGCAACATCTTGGCCACAGTTAATTTGCCAGCAAATAAGTTACCTGTTTCTCATGCAACATAAATTGGTGTTCCTTTTGAAACTTGGCATTGTTGCAACTGACTTGCTGAGCGCAAATCAAAAAGCTTTGATAGCACCCTTTTTTTTTTTCGAGAATACACTTATTCATAAGCAATGGTTCTTTTTGGAATCAGCCTCAAAATAGGGTTTAAATTTGAACTAAAGGAAGGATATGAATGCCCTACTTAATTTCAGCAAGGCTTTTTGCATAGCTTTCTGGAACTGGGTTCATACACTATCCAAGTTAACTCATTTCTCAGCTGACCAGCTTGTAGCTATAGAAGCTGTTCTTTTAGGGCTGGCCTCAATTAGACACTTATTTTCTTTAGATTCTCATGACAAATCATTCAACTCTTGCTACTTAAGAGCAAAGTGGCATAAATAATTTCAAAGCTAATACTGCAAAATAAAAATTTAAACAAAAAAGAAAAATCAACAGTGCTCCAGGTGACCTATACAGTTACTCAGCAATGGACATTGAAATAACACCCAAGGTCCACCACTTATCACTGAAGTAGTCATATCCAGAACGGTCTCAGTTCCGAAACGGGACAGGAAGAGTTTCAGAAGCGCACCTTAACATTTTTCAATTTCTTGCCTTCATATTAAAACAGGCTGCAATTTTGCCAAAGTATAACATTTAAGACAGCAATGTGCAGGCTTCACTTGAAGGTTAACAGTGTAATGATGCACATTAACCTGAAGCAGAAATGCTGCCTCTTAATTTCCTGAACTCAGTTTTTAAAAACTGAAAGACAATTACTTCAGTTACACAATTTGAGACACACTGCTGCAAGATGGCAACAGGAACTCAAGAATGTTCTATTAGTTCAGTTGTTTTCAGAGATAACTTAATGGAAACTAAGAAGGCTATAAAAGGAACCTGACAGAGTAGGTCGTGAAAGGTTGCTAGAACCCAGGGGAATAGTCTCAGGATAACAGGCCCAATAATTTTTAGGGCTGAGATGGAGAAATATTTTCTCCCCCACTCAAAAGGTGGTGAATCTTTGGAATGTTCTATCCCACAGGATTAAGGCTGAGACAGACCGATTTTTGGTTTCAGGAAATCACAGGATATGGGGAGCAGGAGAGAAGTTGAAGCAGATGATCAGCCATGATTATTGAAAAAATGGAGCTGGCTGGAGCAGTCATATGGTTTACTCCTGTTTCTCAAATTGAGAAAGGAGGAAAAATTAGTTATTGTCCCTCGTTTTTACCGCTGAATAGGAAGTTACTGTGGGTGGGGGGGGGAGGAGAACAACGTCAATGAAGCAGTTTGGAATCACGATTAATATTGAATATCATTAATCTCGGTAACACGGGTATCTCAAGAAAGTTACTGAACATTGAGGATAGATACCAGTCACATTTCACTCAATAGACGTGATGAACCTAAATGGCACTAGTGCAGCATCTTCAAAAACGTGGAAGTGTTCTACACTTATCAATGAAAAGATCTTCAGTGTAAGATAATACTAAAAATCAGCCCTACATCATTACATTTTGGTGTTCCTAGAAATTATGTTTCCAATTTTAAGTGCCATGCCTTTTGGTTCCAGTGTAGTTGAGACTCCACAGAATACATTTGGGTTATGGCTGTTCCATGTTTCTAGCCAACACTGCATGATCTTGCTCAAATTGGTCATGATCCTGGGAAAGCTTCCAGAATACCTGGCTGTACTGTTGCCACATGTACTCCATTTCTGGGTCAAATGAAAAGTTAACTATCAAAAGTGGTCTTTTATGAAACTTGAAGTGCACTATAAGTGTACCTTATATATTGCGCCTTGTTCCATTAGCAGAGAATCTACATTAAAAGCTGCAAAGTGGCTTTACTTCAATATTTATCTCTATGGCTTCAAGACATGTTGATTTAGTGCCGTATAAATCTTAAAACACAATCCTGAGCAACAGATCTGTGATACAACTGTAAGTACCACTGCATCAAATCTTTTTCCAAGTTTGAGGAAGAATGGCATGTAATGCAAAACATAATCCCAAACACTGTTTCCATCCCATCAACTGCTCTGCCTGTCTTCAATGGAGTTGATAGCTTTACTGACACCCTGAAGACACTTGTGTTGATTGAGATTTTGATCTTTTGACTTTTTTGGGCTCAGGTGATTAAGAGTTAATTTACTCTGAATAACTAAATGTGTCAGAGATGCAGGTAGCTTTGATGCTCTTCGTGTAACTTTAATGTTCCTGCCTTCTGTATAATTGCATGACCCTTCACAAAGAACAGTGTAAATTAAAATGATAAAATTTTGCCTGTGACTCTTCTGAAAAGTACCACACCAAGGAAAGTTATGAGACACGTGAGAATTAAAAAGGAATGGACAAACGAATACTAAAGGGAATGAAAAATAAACTTCAGAACTTACAGAAACTTCAGTGTGGAGGCAAGTACAAGAAACAAATCAGTTTTCTTGCTTAGCTGTGTTTTGCCTCCACTTCCTTTCCTCTTATGAAGGCATCAGTTCAAAGTATGGCTCGTTATTGTTGATAATCCTACCAATCTCGTCCAAGACTTTGTCTCAGGTTAGACAGCAAATTATTTGAACTCACGATGGATACGAGAGCATAGATTAAAGGTGAAGTCCCACAGCCTAGCTTAATTCGGTTATCGCAATACACACAATGGGACACACTATCAGTGAAGACAAAGCAACATTCTTTCCAAAAGCAAACAGGATCAGGAAATCAATTTTTTTTTCCTCTACTTGGTATCAATAACTTCCCTGTCAATACAATCAAGAGCAGGTTAGGGACCAAACCTGATACTGTCCTCATCTACTTGGTCCTGTTTTAATTTGCAGAAGCGTAACCAACCTAGAGCTGCTACTGAAGCTCATACTCTGGAATTCACTTTAAAGTGTTTTAATATTAAAAGGTGAAAGCTCGATATTTTTAAACCTTGGGAAACAAGGTTACAGCTATTGCCTGTAAGGGAACTGTGAGGCAAATACTGTTGGAGAGGATACCTCTTTTACTGGAGTTGCTTTAAAATGTTAATATTTTAGGTTTATCTTTGCTGTGGTCCATTGCCAAAAAACAGAAGACTCAGAATTAAGATATAGTGCTATCGATTAAATGACCCATTTGAAATTTCCCGAGGGATTTTACAATAAAGAGTTTAAATTTCTAATGTTGAGGACAACGTATGTGACAAGCTCAAGTTAGGCTGAGACACTTTTGGGACCTGTGCTCTCTAATAAAGGGCATTGGTCTGACAGAGTGTGATAGCAGAGGACTTTCTTACTCAGTCCTCAATCTCAAACTTCAAAGCAGAGACATCTTTTGAAATTCAGTTAAAGGAAAACAGTGATTAAAAACTGATGTGTGCACAATACTTTAAAAGAAAGAACAACTTAAACGATTAGAAAACAAAAATTCCAATAGATCCACTAAGCCCTGGCAGTTAGCTTGTATTGAAATCTGTTGACAGCTTTTGAGCTAATTTGACACTCAGGTGAGGGAGGTTTAATGCACAATAAGATAAGGTCACCACAATCCCAGAGGACCAGTAGGCTATTCTATCATTATAGAGAGACACCTGGTGGCATGCTAAACCTAAAGTTCTCCATGTCTCAGGCAAGGGGTAAGGTACAGAAGGCAGAACAACTGGTGTGGGAACTGAAATCTGTGCTTTTGGCATCATTTCATCACAAACCTGCCATCCAACCAAGTGAGCTTTGTCCCTCTCTAATGAGAGAGGAGGCCTACCATCCTCTGGAGTTAGTAACTTTACCTTAACCCATACTGCACAACAAAGGCCCAAGCCTCATTCCCAATATCTCCAATCATAGGTGCACCACACTGTAGCTCTAATGTTCCCTCATGGTACTGAGAACACCAGTGGGTTACACCACCATGCAAACAAATTGTTTTGGTCTTAAAACAATATTTTACTTCAGATTGTCTGGTGGTAGCTCTCGCTTTGCAATGAATAACCATTAGCTGACTAGAAAAGGAACTAAAAAGAGGAGATCAACTGGGTCTGAAAAGAGAGGAAAATCACTTAGATACAAAACAGTCTGGGAAGCTCTGTTTGGAATCTCAATCCAGGATGTTTATACACTTTCTCAATTGTATCAGATATCTGTCTAGGTAGAAGTGCACTACTGATTTTGAAATGCCCAGGCGGTAGTGACCAATCAAGGGCATCTAGTTACTTTAAAATCACTGTCGGCATTATACTCTGGAAGCCCAACAGAATAATTTGCACCAGGGCTTTCCTCATCAAGAGTTCTATTGCCTTCTTGGCTCTTCAACTTCATCTTCATTCCAGCCATCTACCTCACAAAATTGTTCGGCATGTGCTGAAACCAACCCTGGGATACTTTCAAGGCACTGCGCACATCAGTAATTGCCAGAACAATTGCAGCTGTGCAAATTTGGAGCTGGGTCAAGATCCTATATAAAATGAGGCTCAAAGAACTGGGTTTCTGACAACGGGGAAGTTATAATAACTTGACAGAGAAAAGGAGGCTTTATTGACATTTTGGCCTCCCAGGGCTACATTCTAGCAGCCTTCTGAACAACACAAATATAACCGCATAACTTTGCCCCCGCTCCCACCCTGGTTCAATGCTAACTTCAGTAGAACAGGCATGCTTGCAGCAGACCGAGACCCAATCTCAATTTCCATTTCACCTTCATCTTTGCTTTCTCTACCCCCAATTAAAATACACATTTGTTACTCAGTTTATCACTGAGAAACTTAGTTCCTAACCCAATGAAATCACAAGAGTGGCTAGTCGATTTGAGTGCTAGACAATGCTAAGACCAGAGAATACAAGTGTAGCATGCATCCCAATATGCTACCAGACCATTAAGAAAGGTAGGTGCTCTCAACTTGTATTCATGTCCTAGGCAAACTGGTTGGACTGTACAGTCTACTGTACATTAATAGGACCATAACCAAGACATTAGACCATTAAAGCCTTTAATGGACACAAAGGCTCCAACATTCTCTCTCAGGTCGAAACCTTCTTTCTATGGAACAGAGTAACTGCAAACTCCTTCTCTCCATGATTTCAGCTCCTGCCTTGTGCTCCCAATCATTCCACCCATAGTCTTGAACATTCAATTTTGTTCTACCCAATCCCTTTCCTCAGCCACGATGGCATCGAAATCCTTAGGACAGTGAGTGTGGGAAGCTTCAAAATCAAAACCCTGACATTATTACAGCTCTAAATGTCACCAGGCAGGACTCTTCTGCACATCACAACTGAATACGTGCGTTACTGTCGGGATTTACTTTGTGAATCGTAAAGAATACCCCATGGCTTTTTCCAAACACTCAATTACGCAGCCAGCAGACAGATACTCTTTTTCTACTTCTATAAATTTGATGTAAATAGATCTGGAGATGGCTCCTGCCCGACAGTTTTCAGCGAGGAAGCTGTTGATTGTACAGGTCTCTAGGCCCAGCATCTTGACAGGCGGTTGAAAGTGTTGCAGTATGCAATGGCGAATGGTCGCCTCCTCCGCTAAGCCCAAGTAACAATAGCGGATTTTTGACTTCACCTCACTGCTGTCGACGAGTTCGCTCTCCAAGAGAGAGGGCCCAGCAGTGTTGCTGCCGGAATCCCGCCGCAGGGTGACTCTGGGCAGCACCCGTATCCCGTAATCTCGCCGCGGGGAAAAAACCTCGCCTTCAGCCTCCTCACAGCCAATCACGTAGAGGCCATTGGTGTCCGGGATCCCGCCCGGAAGCAAATACTGTATAGTGTTGTCACCAGCCGCTCGGGAAAGTGCGATGGGTATCCATTCGAAAGCGAAGTGCAGCTCAAGACAGCGCGCTTCACTTTTAGTGATCTCAAAAAGCTTGTAATAGACTTTCTTCCAGTTCATTTTTTGACGCTTGATCGCAATCACTTTGCCCTCTGGTTTATCTGGGTTTAAGTATTCCTTCAGTCTTTTTCCAACCAACACCTGGGAACTGATTTCTGCATAATGGTACCGAATGTCCTCGACCCACCGTGTATTATACCCAATGGCAAAAATTCCGAGTTTATTTGTGAATTGCATACTGCTGAGTTCATCATAACTTTGGAATTCCTGCCATCTGGGCTGGACAGCGTCTAGCAGTGCTGTGAGGGCCTGCAGAATCTCCGGCTTCCTGGAAAAAGGAGGAAACAACAAACGTGTAAGTTAAAAAAGAAAAAAAAAAGTGACAGCACACGAGTTGTAAAACTCATGTAAAATCATATGGTGCAGAAGGAAGACATTCAGTTCCTCGTGTTTGCTCTTTGAAGAGCTTCCCAATTAGCTCCACACTACAGTTATTTGGTTTTTTTTTTTTAAAAAGTATTACCAATGCTACAATCTCATTCCTCCGCCCTTCCAAGGAGGAAGCATGAACATAATATTTGATTGAGTTTTAAAAGATGTTCATCTTTTGGCTCTTTTTTGAAAATCTTAAACCTGTCCCCTCTGGTTACTTACCCTAAATCTACTCTCAGAGTCATCTCTGATCTGCTCAGAAATTACTACATGTCCTAAGATCTGGTAAGAAAATTGGACTACAGACCTGCAGCAAGTTTATTTCATTAGTCAAGTGACTTACTCGGCTCTGGTGATGTGCAACTATGTACGATTTACAGCCAGATGTTGCTTTACCAAACTGAAGTAACAGAGGTTGCTTAGCCTAATTCTCAGGCTGCCTACCATTCCAATAGTTGTGACATTTCTTCCTCAATAGATGGAGCACTGTACTGGCCTAGAAAGACTCTGCTCTGGGAGGAACATTTGTGTAATGAATGCAGTAAATACTAGACAGGCAACTCTGATTAATGACAAGTGGCACAACACTTCATTCAGAAAACTGATCAACATGTTTATTAAAATAAACCAAAGAATGGTGGGTGCTGAAGATCAGAAATTAAAAACAAATTGCTGGGGAAACTCAGGAAGTCTGGCAGCATTTATAGGGAGAAAGTAGAGTTATTGTTTTGAGCCCAGTGATTCTGAAGACTAGGCTCAATTTTAGCTACTTTCCCCTCTGCAAATGCTGACAAACAATCCCAGTTTCTCCAGCGTTCCATTTCAGTTTTCCAGCATCAGCAGTATTTTGCCTTAATTAATATAATTAAAATATTATTACCCAAAGAGTGGAGGAGGAAATTAATTCAAGGACTCCAGTCTATTTTGAGGGATACTTAGACCAGACTAGCATGCTACCAGCAATTGTGTGTGACTGGCGCCTTCAAAATAGAGCATTGAATCTTTTGCTTTTGTGACAAGTATATTTTCATTATTTCTCACATTTCAAGAGCTGTACGACAAATTTAGGGTTAAACATAAATGTGATTTAATCCACCACGTAGTGGCAGCAATGCACATTTCATCAACGTGATGCACTGCAGGAATCCTCCTTCCATACCACTTTCCCATCCCATGACCCCTACAACCTAGGAGGACAGGGGCACCAATACCTGCAGGTTCCCCTCCAAGCTATACATCATCTTGATTTGGAATTATATCACTGTTCCTTCACACTTGCCATGCCAAAACCCTGAAAGTTTGTAACAGTACTATAGATGTACCTGCACCAATGGACTGCAGCCGTTTAAGAAAGCAGCTCATCACACATGCAATTAGGACTGGCTGATAAATACAGGCCCAGCCAGCAATGCCCAAATCCCATGAATTAACAGAAAATAAATGGAATGGTCTAGCCTAAACCTAAAGTCAGAACTTAAAACTAGGTGAGGCAGCAAACACAAATCAAACTGAACAAGCAGCAACAGTTTCAGGGACTTGGTTCACTAGTTCCAGTTTGGACATCCCAAATGTGCAGAATGGCAGTTTATTATGTGGTCTAAAATTTACTTTACTTTTAAAAGGCTGTGCATTTACTGACACTTCAGCCATCAATTCTACACAGTAAAAATATTCCCATAGCTCCAATTAATTTGGGATGGTGCTCTGGTCAGTTGTGTACTTTTAAATATAAAACTGCATCAGTCCCTACAGCAATGAAATTTGACTCAGCGAAGAGCAGCAGAACGAGAATCAATGCTAACTGCAACACAACATAAGAAATTGACAAACTATTTTGCTGGCTTCCCAAATATTGCTCCTTCAATCTGAAAGTTATTTTCCAGAACCAGAAGAATTGTGCTCATGACAAACTCCAGTCTAATTAACAAAGCATCTTCAGGTCAACATTCCTTATCTTAAGCAACATCATCTTAACACCAGTACCCAGTGCTGGGAAGAGGTACTAATCTCTGCTGTTCTACAGAGCCAGTCAATCCTTTGCTGGCTAAAGTGTTACTAAACTGTGCCACTGTATAGGCATAACATGAACCTTATTTACTGACATACCCACCTTCTACAGAAGCAGAGTTAAAATCCTGGCTAATTTTTCTCCCTCTAGATGTTCAAGATGGCAAAGTAGCAGAGCTAAGCCCAGGGCTCATCTGTTCCTTCTGTTTTTTTTTCCCCCTTTTTTCAAAAAAAAAAACAAAAAAAATGCTGGGTGGAGGTGGTGACCTCTAAAAGCAGCAGCAACACCAACACCAGGACAAGCCAGACATGGCTCCACCCCAGCTCTGGGTCACCCAGCGAGCAAGGAGCAGGTCCCAGGATGACTCCCCAGCTGAGCTGAGGGTTCAGACCTGCAGCTAGGTTCAGGCACCTGAAGGAGAGGAAGTGCCGGCAAAATGGGCAGCAGACCCGGATGACCAGCGGCAATGTCTGGAGGAGTGTTGGATGGGGAACAGGAAGCATGGAATCTGCGTATCCCCAGGTCCATGGCTACAACAGTGGCGACGAAGGGCCGTAACGAGACCCGAGAGCCAGTTTCAAACTCCAGCCAATGTCAAGCAGCAGTAAAAGAGGGAAAAGATGAACTCTTACAGTAAAATCTTGCATTATATTCAGTGCTTCAAAATTGGGTCACAGCATGGGGACACGTGAAAAACATGTAAAAAATGTTTTTAAAATTTTTATGTGACAATAAACTCAAATCTGATCTGATTAAAGTGATTAAAGATAATAGAAGCATGTCTGCAACACAAAGGACTGAGACAAGTTTTTTTTTAAAAAAAAATCACAAATACATCATTTGGGAGGCAATCAATTCTACATTCAGGCACAGGAGCTAACTTTCAAATCCACAGCATCACTAACCTCAAAGAGTTTTAGATTCAAACTTTGGGAAGCAACTTACTGCATGTTGTCTGTAGAATTGTGCCTTGTTGGTGGCTTCTTCTTCACAAAATTCATTTCTTCTATAAAAGGAAAAAGAGAGGAATGGTGATTAAAAAGAAACACGTGACAAATTCCTCAAACTAAAGTTAACTACAGTACACAAGCTACACAGTAAACATGATCAGTTCAACAAAAGCAAAAATCAAACAACGTGGAGAAATCATCTGATCTGAAGGGTTTTTTTGGGGTTGGGGAGGGGGTGGAGTGGGGTATGCCAGGGAAAACAAAAAAAGGAGTGGGAGAGAACGAGAGAGCAATTAAAACTCTTTGGAACACAACACTTCAATCTATCCAATTTGTGAAGAAAATACTACTTTGAACTAGTACTCTTCAAACAATTGCACGATTCTAATTCATTTCCTCAAATTCTTTGCAATCCCTGCACAGCATTTTATGGCTCAAAATGCTCCCAATAGACAATCAAACTTTGAAATCTGTAACCATGTTGCTAGCTAGTTGCTTTTCATAGGTCAAGTGGACATAGTATAGAAATGTCACACATCCATCGTTACAGCTTACTGCTGTTGCTAGGATCTCAGCAATATCAAGCCTGAGTGCATCAAGTCATAAACACAAGTGAGGCCTCAAAGATAGATAACAAAGAATCCAATTGTGGGCTGAAACCTGCCCATGTACGATGTCTTTCTCTGCTGAAATGTGTTTCTGGTTCAGCACCTGCAGACTGAAAAAAAAAATAATAGCTGCTATGCACTCTTTGACATCCTGTTTATTTAAAGTTTGACATTCAAATAATATTGCAAGTCAAAAATTGTGACAAGTCCGTCACAGTTCCATTAAGTTCCTTCATTAGTGCACTATATTAAACAGGTAGCGTTGATATTTTACCAATTTAGGAACGCTATCAGGCTTAAAAATAACTCAAATCACAAGAAAGCATATAACCCAGACAACACTTCCTATAACGTGTAGTGGTATCTCATTAGTAATGTATCTCAATTCACACCACCTGACAAAGTGATTTCAATTTTATTATGCCAGTTTAAGAATAAATTATATGTAATTCTGGGAGTGATACAATCACGTGCTGCAAATGCAGCTAAACCATACATTCTGGTCATGCCATGTCATGTGCAATCTTGCATGCAGTGAATGGAAAGACTTATTTCAAATCAGCCAAAGCAAATCATCAAAAATGTGACAGCAGTTCAAGTGGAAAAAAGGAGGTACACATCGATTTTTACATAAAAGTTACTAAACTTCCAAACATGTAATCATTGGATAGTTGCAAAGTGAGATCAGGAAGCACACGATTGTTTGTACACATTCTGGAGCAAATAAATAGTTCTAAGTAATCCAATTGTTATCGCACTGCTTATTTGGTTGGACCACAGGGTCTCAGCTAGAGCATAGCATTCTTGCCTCTACTCTTATCCATTAAGTTGAACTTTACTGAAAGCAACAAATGCTGGAGATCACAGCAGGTCAGGCAGTATCCATAGACAGAAAGCAAGCTAAGATTTCAAGTCTATATGACTCCTGCTAGATGAACTTCGCTTTCAAAGTCTGATAAAACTGCATTTGAAGGTCTGGGAGAGTTCTACACAGCAACCACAAGATAACACACCAATCATCTCTGGAGAATGACTTCAAGGAGCTCTTTTGTAAGTTTCTTGAAGCTTTAGATGACATCACTAAAGTCAAGAAAACTGAAATTCCCAAAAATGGGCTCTATTCTACGCACAGAAGTACCTAGCTGAAAAACTATAACATAATTAGAAGCCAGAGTGTGTGCAGCTTGGTTAAACTGCCTAGACTGGCCAGGTGCCAATAAAGACAGCCCTGAGGTACGTTGACCTAACCAATCAAGCCAGCTATCACGATGTGAGCAGGAAAGATAGGAATAAAATCTTTCAACTTCAGATGATCCCAGAAGTCAGCAGAATAATGCTTGGTTCTGATGATTGTTTTGTTTAGGAATGGATCACATGTCAGTGAGTGGATGGGAGGGAAGTAGAGGCTGCTAATCTCAAGCTTTAGAAATACTTGGCTGTTCCATTTCAAACGTTCATCCAAGAGTATAGAGTTAGAAACTGTGGCTAGAGTAGATTTAGCACAGTTTTGGCAGTACAGACTCGTTGGGCCAAATTACCTTTTCTGCACTGTACAGTTCTGTGAAGTGTGGGCACCAGGGACATGGCCAGTATTTGCTGGTCATCCCCAATTTCCTTTTAGCTTGAGTGGCATTTCAGAGTGCAGATTTTTAATTCATTAACAGGACGAAGGACATCGCTGGCTGGGCAGCATTTATTGCCCATCCCTATTGCCCAGAGGGCAGTTGAGTCAACCACATTGCTGTGGGTCTGGAGTCACATGTAGGCCAGACCAGGTAAGGATGGCAGTTTCCTTCCCTAAAGGAAACTAGTGAACTAGATGAGTCTTTCCTGACAAACAACAATAGATTCACAGTCATCATTAGATTCCTAACTCCAGATATTTTATTGAATTCAAATTCCACCATCTGCTGTGACAGAATTCGAACCCAGATCCCCAGAACGTTATTGGGGTCTCCAGATTAACAGTCCAGTGATAATACCACTAAGCCACTGCCTCCCCTGAGTCAGATTGTTGTGGGTAAGGACAGCATATTTATTTTCTTAAAAGACTTTAGTAAACAAGATTTTTTATTCAGTAAGGGAACTGAAGATTTTGAGGAAAAGATAGGAAAACGGAGTTGAAGAGAATCATGTCAGCCATGATCTTATTGAATGGTGGAGCAGGATAAAACAGCCTAGGTTACCAATGCTGGACATTAATAGCAAGCAACAATTTTTATAGTAGAATGCTTGAACCTCAGATGGTTTTTCCACAGTTCATCCGCACTAATCTTTGGCTTCTTCAGTTCTACAGCAAAACCAATGTGTTCAAATATAGAAGTGTTTACAGTAGCACTTTAGAAATTGCTCCTCAGCATTCCTCTATCTACTGATCATGGCAATTAATAGCGCTATGGGAAATTTAGAAAATTACTGCAAATATTGGAAATTTGCAAAAAGAAAATACAAGAAGTGCACTCATTTTTCAAAAGCAATGAAGAGAAAATATAATTTAATATCGGAGCTGAGAATTCCTTCACACTTGAACAACAAGAACACAAAAAAGGAAATACCTGAAAGTGAAAACTTTAGTTCTTCAGTATTAACATTATTGCTTTTCAGTGATGATTGGCTGAGCATTTTCTTTAAGATTTGGAAAGACCGAGAATTCAAGTAAGGAAGGACAGAGTTCCACTTAACAGCACCTTTTACAAACATAGGATGACTCAAAGTGCTGAACAGAGGATACAAACATGGCATGACTTTGTACATTTCCAAGAGCAGTTGACTGAATTCGTTTAAGTTTGCTAACTTTAAATAGAAAACTGAAGCAAAGAAATGTCATTTTTTAAAAAAATACCAGATAATTGATCAAGTTATCTTTTTTAGCTCACTCATAGAACGTGAGCATCACAGGCAAGATTGGTATTTGTTGTTGATCCCTAACTGCCCTTGAGATGACCATGACAAATTGTCTCTAGGTCAAAAATAACAGTGAAGAACTGCAATAATCGATACAAACAAAGCTGATGCATGTAGTTTTGAAGGGAACATGGAGGGGGCAATCTATAAGTCAATGTGTCCTTGGCTTTGTAAGTGGCAGAATCAACAGGATCCTCCTGCAATCCTCAATACAGCAAGTAACACATTTAACGAATCAGGGCAGGACTCATACACTTAACGGTAAGGTCGTGGTAAACGTTGCTGAACAAAAAGACCTTGGAGTGCAAGTACATTGCTCCTTGAAAGTGGAGTCCCAAGTAGACAAGATAGTGAAGGTAGCATTTGGTATGCTTCCCTTTATTGGTCAGTGCATTGAGTATAGGAATTGGGAATTGAGAGATCATGTGACTTTTCAGGACATTAGTGAGGCCACTTTTGGAGTACCACATGCAATTCTGGTCTGCCTGCTATCGGAAGGATATTGTGAAACTCGAAAGGGTTCAGAAAAGATTTACAGGGGTGCTGCCAGGGTTGGAGGGTTTGAGCTATAGGGAGAGGCTATTTTCCCTGGAGCATCAGAGGCTGAGGGATGCCCTTAGAGATTTATAAAATCATGAGGCACATGGATAGGGTGAATAAACAAGGTCTTTTCCCTGGGGTAGGGGGAGTGCAAAACTAGAGGGCATAGTTTAAGGTGAGAGGAGAAAGATTTTAAAAAAAAAAGGGACCCAAGGAGCAACTTTTTCCAGAGGGTGGTGTGTGAATGGAATGAGCTGCCAGAGGAAGTGGAGGAGTCTGGTAGAAAGACAACATTTAAAAAGGTATCCAGATGGGTATATGAATAGGAAGGGTTTAAGAGGAAAATTCGCTAAATGCTGGTAAATGGGACTAGATCTACATAGGATATCTGGTCAGCATGGATAAGTTGAACTGAAGGGTCTGTTCCCATGCTGTACAGCTCTATGACTCTTGACATGTTAAATAAAACAAATAAGAATTACTTTGAGGAAGTTGGAGTTTTTCCCCTTGAATTAATGGGAGATGTGATATAAGTGCATAGGATAGTGAGGGGTCTAAATAAGACAAATAAAGCTTTACCCATTAGCCGACACAAACTAAGTACACAGGTTTAAGATGTTATTTAGGGTTTGCAATGGGAATGTAAAAAGATGCTTTTTCATCCAAAGAGTGGGAATGACCTGGAACTCTCTGGCTATGAGGATTCTGGAATTGGATAGGATCAAAAAGGGAATGGGCTGGGAAGAAAGAAAGAGGAAAAAAAACTTGCAAGACTGAAGATTAGTGGCTAATGGGACTGATTGGATCGCTCTATTGAGGATTGGCATGGACTCAATGAGCTGTGCTGCCTACTTCAGTAATTTAATGATTCTGTTCCTTCCTTTAGTTTATATGGCTGCTTGCATTTTACAACTAGTCAGTTTCAAGAGCAGAGGGGGGCCCAGGAGCCTCCATTGCACTCTCGCCAGGGGAAATGTTCGCTACAAAATAAATTAGAAGAAAAC